TATATATTTTTTTTTTATTTTTTTTATTTATTGTTTTATTATTATTACTACGAAGTGATGTCTTCCTGGTGAAGGCTGTTACTGTTATCAGATGCTGCTATTCCTGTAGACCTGAACCCAGATGATGACAATTCAAAATTCATTATTAATGTGCTTTTAAGATTTCAAACACTGACCCGAGGCTGAAGCTGCATCAGCGTCTGCTCTAGACCAGCCGTGTCACTGATTAGTCAGCAGTTTTAGCAAAATATAAGACTCTAAATCAACATAAACACATGCATATACCTTGTAAAGAGTAGAAAATCTTTTACATAATGCAAGAAATTATGTATATTCAGGGGGATTTTCTACTTTACCAGTAGAATATTCTAACATCTTTAAAGTAAACCCACAGGAAAAAAATAAGCCTGACACCACATAACAGGTTCTATGGCTTCTTACCTTGCATTCCTGCTACCAGAAGTCCAGCAAATACCCGGCACCAGGGGAAATGTTCTGAATGCATTGAGCCTATGTGCCCCCTTCCTTAAAAAAATGAATTGCAAATAACACCTGACAAACAATGGATATGTTTGCATTGCGCTTAATATTGAGCATGGCTTAATAATACCCCCAGCATTGGTGTCAGTGACCACAATAATAAACCCCCAGCATTGGTGTCAGTGGCCACAATAATAAATCCCCCGCATTGGTGTCAGTGACCACAATAATAAACCCCCAGCATTGGTGTCAGTAACCACAATAATAAACCCCCAGCATTGGCGTCAGTGACCCCAATAATAAACCCCCAGCATCGGTGTCAGTGACCACAATAATAAACCCCCAGCATTGGCGTCAGTGACCACAATAATAAACCCCCAGCATTGGCGTCAGTGACCACAATAATAAACACCCTACATGATCCACCCCAAAGTCTGGCTGCCTCTCTCCCCGCTGGCCGCCTCTCTCCCCGCTGGCCGCCTCCCTCCCCGCCGTGGTTTTCTGGGTTCACAGCTCTTTTGGGGGACCCGGGACCACAGCAAAGTATTTCAGGATGGAGAGTGGGCAGCAGAGCGGAGCACATGCGTGATCCTCTCTGCTCCGTGTGAACACTGAGACAGGAACACTGCACTCGCAGTCTTCCCGTCTCAGCTGTCACAGGAGAGCCAGAACAGTGATGTGCTCAAACTACTGTATTGGAGTTGACAGGTTCAATAAAGAGAACATCCAAATACTATCACACTGGGGCTTGTTAGACTGTGTGATATCAATAAAGTTAAGTGAGAAAAAAATTATTAAATAAAAAATTTAAAAAATGTAAATCGAGAGAGTAAATCCGGCCATGCCTCCACCCTTCCTTAAACCCCTTCATTGATGGTCAGTTATCTAATGCCCTCTCCTCACATTGGTGGTCAGTGTTAATCAACCACTTTTCTACATTGCCCAGTGCTGTTAACCCCACTCATTTCCCAGGTTAGGCAAGTGTCATCACAGATCAGCCATTACTGCAAGGTGGGGGTGGGAATAGATGTTTGCAAAGGGCGGGACCAGTGGCCACAGCTACTGTTTTTGCTGGAAATGCGTGCAGGCAGGAGTCAAGGCTAGTGGGCAGCCCTGCCGCTGCTATAGCTTTGACCTCTGGTGACACTATGGGTTATTTAATAAGCATAATAAATGACTAAACAAATGCTTTGTTTGTGAAAAACCTGGATATGAACATTTCAAGTGAACTCATGCTCGGACTATGCAGGGCAAACAGTTTTCCTAAATGACCACCAGTCCGCTCCTTATACTCTCCCTCCCTTCACTGGCCTGATAAATGTGAAATAGCCAGTACTTTTAGGTTTGGGGAGCCCATGACTTAATCCCCTTCCTCCCACACTTTAGCATTAGGTGCCTACGTGGTAGATTCTACAGGAGGGTCGGTTGGTGGGTAGGTATTAAGACATCATAAAAAATAAATAAAAAGCCCAGAAGAGGCTTTATACCTATCTCACTCTACTTCAAACTAGAAACATAATGGCTGAAGTCCCACTTCAAAACTGAACCCAAGACAGATATAAAAGATGCACAAGGCCGAGTTCTTGCACCCGGACCCCAATGACACCTCATGGAGCATGTGTAGTGTGTTCTAGATGATGATGACTGACAGCCATTTTGGTGTCTTCCACTCTGAAAAGTCAGGCACTGGGTCCAAGAGCCCGACAGCTGCACAAGTGAGGAGGGGACCTGGCGGCATACCTTATCCCGCCAGATCTACATCCCCTCCTCTCTTTGCCAGCGTCCATCACCAAGATGGCGTGGAAGGAAGAGCACGTGACGTCATTATGTGCATGCATAATGACGCCACGTTCAGGACAGAAGCAAGGAGGGGGGCTGGGGGGTCATGTGCCCCAGGGTGCTGCTTTAGGAGGGGCACCGCCAAGTGTGTGGATGGAAAACTTCTCCCTTGGGGGCGGGGGGATTCTGGCCTTTGCCCCAGGTGACAGAATGTCTAGCTTCACTGCTGGCCACGTGTATACATAATTAGGTGCGCACTGGGTGACACCAGGCAGCCGCACCGGGTGACACCTGACCTGATGACGCCACTGTCCCGCACTGCTTCAATCAGCAGAGGACCTGTGCAGGGATTGGATCCGACGTGCGCCCATCTAAAAGGGGTCTTACAGGGCTCTAATGCAAACAGTTAAGAAATGCACTTTGTTTTCTTTTTGTAACATGGGTGCATTTATTATTTTTCTTTTACAAAGTGGACTATGCCTTTAACGTTCATAGAGCAGGGTGGACTTTCACTTGAAGTATGCAAATGTCTGCCTTTTCTTTTCTTTTTTTGCAGGCTTCCAGTGAGTTGGCAGTCATCCTCGGCCCCCGGCTTCCTCCCCTTCAGTCTCTCCAGCAGGGAAAGGGTTAGCCAAGTCTGACAAGGTGTAGGGCTGCTCTGCCGGCTCATTCACTGACACAATTTCCTCATATGTGGCTGCTTCTCAAGTTTCATTACAAGCAGGAGGGAAAAGAAAAGTAGGCTGGGTGGGGAGAGTACACGTCTGCCCTGCCACCTCGGAGATCGCGATCCGGGACAATGCGGACGGCAGCGCTGCGATGATGCTGTGGGGTAGCGCGGTGCCCAGTCGCCAGGAGAAGCGCAGCGCAACGCAACAGAAGGGAGCCCCGGCGCCTGTCCGAGGAATGCCACGCAGGCAGCATTGAGCCAGGCAACACATGTGCTGTCGGGAGAAGCCGGCTGCGTGACCAGCTTTTACACTATTGATCCCTGGCTCTGCCAGCCAGCAGCCCCAAGGATGCACAGGGTAAGAAAGTACTTCCGTGGCAGTGGCAGAGCCCTGGCATTTATATTTGTCGCCTCCATCATCTGGTTGATCTTTGACATGGCAGCTCTGAGGTTCTCCTTCAATGACATAAACAGCAAGCTGCAAAGAGATAAACTTTTCAAAAGAGGGCAGGAGAACTGGAAGCCCCCGGGAAGGGGCAATGGTGGCCAGCGCTGGGGTGAAGATACCACCAAGCTTAGAGGGATCTTCCACCCTTTTGGGGATGAACTGGGTAAGGCAGTGAATGCTGACCCCAAAGCTGTGTTCAGGCAGAGGAAAAGGACTATTAAGCCTATGGCCGTGAACAAAACGATCGCTTCGATGGGCGTACCTGGAACCAAGTTGTTCACCCTGGAACGGGAGAAAGGTAACAAGTTACAGGCAGCGAATGTCACGCAAGAGCTGGAAGCAAAAGCTCATTTGTCAAAAGCTCCAGCAAATGAGATTTTTAAAAACAAGCTCAATGCAGCAGGTTCTGTTGTAAGGGGGGAGGAGGTACACAATGTGAACAAACCTATAGAAGCAGTGCAGGTCAAAGTTACCAGGAAGGTCGGTGATGCAGTAGATTCTAAAATATTAGATGCAGGGGCCTCTAGAGATGGTGTGGGTGGCAGGGATGCATCGGAGGGCAAAGATGGTGGGGCAAAGGGTGTAGAAGCTTCTAAAGATGCTGTGAAATCCAAGGATGATGGGACCTTTAAGGTTCATGTTGAGGTCAAGGGTGCAAAAGCCCCTAAAGAAGCAGGGGAACCCATGGACTCTAAACATGGTGTGGAATCCAAGAATGCAGTAGAGGCCAAAGATGCAAGGGCTCCTGAACATGCTGTGGTGGGCAAAGATGTAGGGGACCCTAAGGGAGATGTCAAAGCCTCCAAAGATGCTGTGAAAGTCAAGGATGTAGGTGCTGCTAAGGGTATAGAAGCCAAAGATACAGAGGTCTCTATGGTTGTAGTAAAGGACAAGGATGTAGTGAAGGGCAAGGGTGCAGAGGTAATAGTAAAGGACAATAATGTACTAGACTCTAAAATTGCAGAAGATGGCAAGGCTGTAAAAGACTCAAAAGACAAAATGGAGTTCAGAGGTCCACCTTCTGCTACTTTAAAACTGGACAGATTGAAAGAACAACGTCATGATAAATCCCCAAAAGAAACTGTTATTGCAGCGAAGAAGTTAAATGGCAACAATGATGGACCTAATGCGTTACCCTGGAACAATGCATCAGCCGTCATTATAAATAAAGCTGGAGCAGTCATTAGTAACTTATTTGTCAATGCAAATGAGCCCCAAGCCGCTAAAAAGTTAAACCTTTCGGAGGGCGCCATACAGCCAGCTACGCCCAAGACGCGTATCGATGTAAAAAACTCTACGTCTGGTTTCAAAGGAGGGCTTTTAGGACAATCAGAAAACGAGGACGTAAAAGGAACCTTGACGAAGAATATTACACAAAAGCCGGCCAAGGTCAATATTAGTTCTTCCATTAATGCTGATGTGGAAAATAAACAGTTAATCCACCACGATAAAGCGAACAGAGTACCAGGAACTGGGGTGCACAAAGTTCGAACACTGGATGTAACTGTGTGGCCAAGAGACGCCAACGCTCCCGGCCAGTTTGGGAGGCCTCTGGCTGTTCCTAAAGACAAGGAGCAAGAGGCAAGCAAGCGGTGGAAGGAAGGGAACTTTAACGTCTATCTGAGTGACATCATCCCTCTGGATCGAGCCATCGAGGACAGCAGGCCAAAAGGGTAGGAGCTCTTACGTTCTCTCCTTTCTCTCTTTTTTCACTATAAATGTCACTTTCACAGCTCCCTGCATATCAATGAGACTAATGAGAACTGTAATTCAGTAAGATGCAAAAATTGTCCCAGTGTCTTGGGAGACTAGGCCAGGAATATGCCAGGTGTTCATTACTGGCAGTCCCTGTTTGATCAGCTGGAGTTTTTCTAGGACTCTTTTTATGTTTAAAATGAAACTCCACTTTCACAAATAAAAAAACAAAAGTTAAAGCTGAACTACAGGAAGATAAAAAACAAACAAAAAACAATTTAATGCAGCTGAGCAAAGTTTTCAAAATAAGTTAAAGGGTTATTAAACTCTCAGGTTTTTTTGTATATATTTACTGCTAGCAAAACAAACCCTTTCAAACAATTTAAAACTTACCTGTGTCTTCCCCGCGCGCTCCTGTCCGAAAATCTGAAAAATCCCGGGTGGCCGCAAAGGATCTTGGGGCGGGCGCATGCGCAGTTCAGATTCTCGGCCGGGAGACGAAGAGAGACACAAGGTAAGTCTATGGACGGCGTGCATCCGCATGCAAACAGCGTGTGACAGGAAGTGCCAGCAAGCACAGAGGAGTCAGCGCTGGATCAGAGACCTGCAGCAGCACTGGAGGCCACCAGCATGACTCCCAGAAGCAGAGGCATGATAGCAGTTGTAGTCTCAGCACAGCTGCAGTGCTAAGGTTGCCTACCCCTGGCTTAGTGTGTTGTTGCTTCTTCATTGTCCAAGTAGGAGGTAAAAGGCAGGGAGGTAACACCACTGTACAGCTGAACTCCAGGAGAATTATTTTTTATGGAAGCTTGGCTCAATGTAAGTATCCATATCTAATATCCTATACTGTGATAGCTGTGATATTCCGCTGTGGCTCCAGCAGCTTCCGTGCTATGTAAAGAGTACAGGGAGTCGCTCACTCGGCACCACCGCCATTCAGAGAACACCTTGTGTGTTTGTTTTTTCATAAATTCAATATGTTCTGTGATTGGAGAGGAGGGGCATATGATGTCCTGTTCTCCACCTCTTCCAATCAGAGAATGCTCTCTACTTTCTGAAAGCCAAACTCCAGGCAGAAGGACCGTTTCCACTACATAATTAGTAGTGGTGATTGGACTGACCTCCCCAGGTCCAGCATCATCAGAAAGAGTTTCTGCTCTCACTTGATTAGTACAGCTCCCGGGCTGCTCAAGAAGCAAGCATTGTGGGTCCCATAGATCTCAGTGTTGCAGTTGCATCCCCGACTCTCTCTCTTCCTGGCCAATCACAAAATGCTGGGCCCTTTGCTTTGTAATTGGCCAGGAGGAGAGAGGGTCGGGGATGCGACTGCAGCACTGAAACCCACAGCGCCTACCTGCTAATTGGCCTGGAAGCAATGAACATTGCTGCACCGTTGCACAAAAAAATAACATAACACGGAAGTTGGACATTTGGAAGTAGTTCAAAGTTGGTCACACTTTTTTGATTGGATGGTTTGATTTTATTCATGATGGCATAGTCGGCAGCCCATCAGTTGGATATTTCAGGAAGGTCCCTGACACACACATGCTTTTTGTTTACTATTTATATCAAATGTTTACCTTCCCCTAGTGACAGAATCTCTGACCCCTGATATCTCCATTAAGAGGACACAATAATATCATATAGGGCCTTGTCATAGTAAAAAACTAAAGTAAAAAATAAATAAAAGTAATAAAAAATAAAGTTGAATAAAATGCTTATGCAAACATGTGTACGTAAATTTCATTTTTGTAACATATATTGTTAGCAATATACCTGTTAGCATTTTTTTTTCTGCGCACTGAGCCACATATATGCAGCTCTGTGCGCAGACCCGTCATGCTGAGATGAAGTATCTCCCATGGGCATGCTGTGTATATTAGCACATTACAGCAAAAGCCATGAGGGGGGGGGGGGGGGGAGAACCGCGAC